TACTACTCCTAGCTACTACTCCTAGTTACTACTCCGAGTTACTACTCCTAATTACTACTCCAATTACTACTCCTAGCTACTACTCCTAGTTACTATTCCTAGTTACTACTCCTAGTTACTACTCCTAGTTACTACTCCTAGTTACTACTCCTAGTTACTCTACTACTAGAACTACTACTAGCACTACTACTAGCACTACTACTAGCACTACTACTAGCACTACTACTAGCACTACCACTAGCACTACTACTAGCACTACTACTAGCACTACCACTAGCACTACTACTAGCACTACTACTAGCACTACTACTAGCACTACTACTAGCACTACTACTAGCACTACTACTAGCACTACTACTAGCACTACTACTAGCACTACTACTAGCACTACTACTAGCACTACTACTAGCACTACTACTAGCACTACTACTAGCACTACTACTGCTACTACTACTACTACTAGTGCTACTACTACTAGGGCTACTACTACTACTACTACTCCTACTCCTCCTCCTCCCCCCACTCCTCCCACTCCTAGTCCTACTCCTACGCACTACTCCGACGCCTCTACTCCTCTACTCCTTCCTCCCTTCTTCCCCAAGCACTACACTGGTAGCGCCGGTAGCTACTCACATTGCCTACAGCATTACCGTCGTCTACAGGTACTCGTCACAGGACGCACACGGTGCTGATCGACCAGTGCTCCGTTGGTATGCGTTCCGTTGGTTGTTCAAGCACGCGCTTGCTACTCAAGCTGCTTCTGATCTACGGCTCTGTTTTCGTCTCTTCTTCTCTCAGGCTTCCCCCTAGCGTGCGCGTCAACCTCCCTTGGGGCAATCTCTCTCCCCTGTCTCCTTCTATGCAGCGGTCTGCTGTCAAACCAGAGGCTCATACATAGTACCTGGCGCTACTTTGCTGGGGGCGGTACTAATTTGGTATACGGTCAATTGGTTGTTACAGCAAACCTTGCTACACAAGCCGCTTCCGTTCTACGGCTTTGTCTTCGTCTTCCTTTCTTAGTCTTCTTATTCTTCTTATTCTTCTTCTTCTCCTTCTTTTCTCTTCTGCTCTCTCGCGGGCTTCCACCTAGAATGATTATAAATATTAGAAAATTAAACAATGATAATAACAAGAGGTATCAAATAATAGTAATAATGGTAGCAGCAGGAGTAACAACAATAATAAAAGTAAGATAAAATAATTCAGATATTCTGGTGAAAACCCGGCGATGCACCAATCCTGCATATCATTTCAAAACAACCACATCTCCAAATTTCACAAGGACAAAACCCAGCACATCCCAACACAATCCAATTCCCAATGGAACTTACATAATAGGTCAAGTCTAAAAAACGCAAGGAAGAATACCAATAACCAAAAACCTGTCTTCCAAGGCACCAACTGGACGCAGCACGCACCGACGACTTCCAGAAATCTTTCCCCCAGCTAATAATCAACGCAACAAAGCAAGTGAACGCATTGAATTTCCAAATTGAGTGTACTTTATACGTGTTCAATATTTTGGTGTTTTTTTCTAACATTTCATAATATGTCAACATATATATATATATATATGTCTACATATTTCTATTTTTTTCTCCTCAGGTTCCATGCAATACATTTGGCCAAACAAAGCCTCGGTGTCAAGCATCGGCAAGTAGAATATTCATGCATAGTCTGGCAGAATCTTGCAAGTTGACAACATGTTTTTTGTGGCAATGTTGGTCGTCTCAAATTTGCTCATCTGAATCCCACAGCAATTGAGTAGTGCATACCATAAGCTTTGCAAATGCCTACGAACCTACGCCATTGTATGAGGTAGGCTACAGATGGCTACAGCAGGTAAATTTCTTTGGTGTCTGCTCGGGGTGGCCCTCATCAGGGCCCTCACACTGCCATGTACAGACTTTGCTTCATGTGCGATTGCTGGAACCAACAGCTCCAAGCAATGTTTCCCTGGGGCCGTGGCTCAAAGTGCCCATCACTGAGAGGCAGCAGCCCGTGAGGAACACCAAAGCCAGGCCAAACTGGGGACAACGTCACCCAAAATTCCGTGGATTCCGGTTGGATTCATTGGTTTGCCCAAGATTTTGGAAAACTCTCCTTTGTATCCTGCATGATCCTGGCTTAGAGCAATCTCCAACTGGACCACTTCAAACGTTCGGACTTTGTTGACTTAAGTTGACTGGTTGGCCGCCAAGTGCACTTTTCCTTTTGGCATCTTAGAGCAGCTCAACCCCAATAAGCTGCTGAGCGAATGACATTCCTGCTTTTGAAGGGGACAGGCACATAAAACTACGGGTGTGGTATGGTTCAAAACTCAGGTCTCCCAAAATAGCCTCCCAAAATGGGATGGTTTCCTATGATGAGAAAAAAAATGCACCAAACATGGGATGGTTACTTTACTCCCACCAAAACAAATCCCAAACCCATCTCACCTGCTCATACCATGGCAGCCGCCGGGATTGCCTGGACAACTTCCAGTAGCACAGCACCGGCATCGTGAACGCCTAAGTGAAGCTACAGTCGAGCTGATGCGCAAGAAACAACATTTTAGTTTCTAAAAGATTGCCTTTTAGACTCCTCAAGATCTGTGCATTGTGCGCTGCGAATATATATTTTTTAAGATTCCTGCGCTCCGCATTACAACATATTCAACGGTGAAGATTGCAGCTGAAGGAGCAATATGTGCACAAATGGCACCGCCCAAAAAGTTCAACAGCAATGCCACTTGTGCTGAAAAGAAGGCGGCTAATCCTTAGGACGACTCAGCTGGTCATATAGCAAGTCTCGGCAAAGCTTTTGAATGCTTTTGATACGTTTAAAGTTGAACTTCAACACTTGAACAAATACCACACATAAATGTCTGATTGCCATTCTTTGCCCGTCATGTTTGAACATTTCAGCATTCGCTCCAATCACTGCCCCGTCGTGGCCGCAGGATGTATCTACAACACCAGAACGACTTGTGCGAGCCTGCAGAAGCAGCCAAAATGCAAGGCAGGAAGAAGCCTCACCCAGATGCGGGAAAAATGTGATATTCTGATTGATTCCTGTCTTTGCACCGGTGACATCGTCATTCCAGCACCCCTGTTGGTTTGGGTGTTTGGGTGTGCAAACACTCGCAACCACACACAGATGTGTTTTGAACTACTGCTAGTTGGATCTTGAACAGTTTTTGAAGGCCTCCCGAGAAAAGTGTGACCAAATTGGCAAAGTATGCCTGAATGGTGTTTTCCCAAAGATTCAACCCTAAATCAACACAAACCCGAGTGGCAAAAACCACTGGGTGCTCCTGGTTTCTGTGGTGATGGGCCCTTTCTAGCCACCTGTTTTGAGGCTGCTGGCTGCACCGAAACGATCCGAAACGTCGGGCCTGGAGCATCACGCGCTGCTTGCTCTCTGGTGCCCAACAGCCCTTGCAGAGATGAGGTCAGTGTTGGCAGCACGAAAGCCTGTCGCCGTGGTGCGGCCATTGCGCACCAGTGGAACAAGTTCTACACCATGGTCTGATGGGAACCCAGAACCACAAAATGGTACTTGAAGGGACCAAATATGTGGCTTGATTTTCAATATGGAGATGCGTCAGGCTTTAAACCCTGAGAATAGAGTCATCATCTTCATCAAACCAAATCCAATGCTGATGCGCACTCCGTGAGATTTGGGAGTGACGCGCATTAGTCTGGCTGACATATAATATACTGGAATAGGAGATTCAGTATTGCTCACAAATCATCACCCAACATCCCAGCTATTCATGCATGATTCCTATTTTCATCCTCCATTCTGAGTTATTTGTGTCAGTAATGAAATATGATAATATCATCATTATTGAATTGATATAGTCATGAACCATTGTAAATTGTGTTATATTGGTATAATAATATATAGCTATAATATTGTATATGATATTTCATGTATGGTAAACTATTATAGATATTATAGTGAACTAAGTGAACTCTTATCAATAATATACACATCAATCGCTGGGCTTTGCCCAGCCATGGCTCCCGCCTGCATCACCAGCAGCCGAATGGCCATACCAGCCTTGGTAGCGGAGCTATGGATAGCTGGATAGCTGTGATGACTCAGTAGCATAGATTAACATAGGTGGTGTGCGTCTACACATGAGCCATTTTCCAAAGCTATGTTAAACTAACAAGATGTTGAACAACGATAACAACTCATATATTGAACACATGATAAAACAGATTGAACAATGTTGACTAAATGTTGATTTACCTCTGTTTTTCACAGGCCGGTTCTCGTGTCACAGGTGAAACGAAACCAACCGCGCCAAGCTGCAGCACAAGCTACAGCCAACCAATGCATCCGAGGGATCGGCCTGATATCAAACTGGTGATTCCACCAATGTGACCGACAACAATGGTGATATCATGGCAATAAGTGATTTGGTGGTTATTAAATGTTATTAATATGGTCATATGATGGTGTAATGAGATATGGTGTATGGTATTAATATACCATCATATCATGGGAATAAGTTATTTAATATGGTATAATGAGAACACAATGGTGATATGATGGCGATATAGTGGGAATGTAATGGGAATATAATGGGATACATTGGGGGGTAAATAGATGTGCATCCAAAGATAGGATCTAAGGTTTCGACATGCGACTTCAGACATCTTCAGACCCATCCCTCAAAGAAACAAACAAATCATAGAATTGCCATGAATTGATTGACCATCATGAAGCTACAAAAATCCACAAAAAATATCAAAAACTACTCAAATTCAAATAACATCAAAGAAGTACAGTATGATCCAGCACCGAAAGGTGAGTTTGACTTCCAACTTTCACTCCTTCCCTGCCCAAATGTTGAGACAAGCTTCTGAAAGTCCAGGGTCCAACCAACATTTTGGATGGCACTAGGCTGCACTGCAGAGCCAAAGAGCAAATATCCTGATGCCATATGGGTGGAGATGGTGGAGTTATTGGGCGGCATTTGACAAAAATGGATTAATGGGATGGTTTGCTACTGAAATACCACAAGAATGGGGATGTTTTATGATAGTAAAATATAGTAAACACTGTGTCAAAAATATGCAAAAATTCTCCAAACTCATCCAAAATCTCCTGGAGTCCCTGGGTCCATTTTCACCGCGCCTGCCAGCCCAACGCTCAAGTAGAAAATGGCTGCAGCGGCATAGGCCGCCTTCAAACCTGCAGCTCTGGGATGTTTTGTCAGGATATTGTCAGGATACTTCTTCATTGTCAGAATATCATTCTTGATTTTAGATAGCCGTCAAGTCAACTTCTTAGCTGATCAGTATGTATGCCCATGTTCATGTGTAGCAAAAAAATAATTTATAGGCCATAGGCATTAAAGTACCCAATACAGGTCTCCCCAACTATGTGTGTATTTATTCTATTGGTATCTGTGGATGTCTGTGGTATATCCCATCCTATTCTACTTTTGACGGGTTCTCATGTACTTACTCGCCGTGTACAATGGTCACTCAAGTTCTGTCCCACCACAAAACTCATGCCATGCATTGTGATTCCAACGATGTCCAAACATTTTGATATTCTTTGATCATATGTCCAACTTCTACAAGTCTACAATCTTCCATTCAAATGGCTCGAAAAAGCACAGAAAAAATGAAACTGGTGGAGGCAGCAGTGATCTTGAGCATGCCCAACTGAGTGCCCGGAAACAGATAGGAAAGAGCTCGGGTTGCCGCATCCGTCTTTGAATGTCAGGAAAGAAGGCGTGTCTTGGCTCAGGTTCGATGTTGGAAGTGACAACTGACTGAATTGAACCTGTCGGAAAACATGAAAAGCTGCTGACACTCGACTTCTCTGCTACATTCGCCGTGGACGTGGCATCCAAGGATTAGGTTTCACATCCAAGATGCGCAGCTGGACTGAAGACCAAGATCCCAAACACAGAGAGGAGCCCTCACGTGGCACTGCATCGGGCAGTGTGTTTGGCCATCATGAGACTCGCAGGACTGATCACATATTTTTCTCGCCCAACGCAGGCAGTAGAGTTATGAGAATTTATGAGAATGCAGTGATCGAAAATACGGTTGTTCCCTGGAGCGGCGGGGACATTGATCCACGTTCAAATCAGGATCGTTGATAGATGCTTTGACTGTGCGGATGTCTAAACAAATAAATCGATGGTAACAACAGTGTCGCTTCAGTCAAGGAATGTTTGCCCGGATAAACGGTAGTGGTCACATTTCAATTCTTATTTGGAGCCTGTGTATCTTATGTCATTTCAGCTAAAGCCCCATTGCAAATACTTCTAGAACTATTCTGGCGGAGGCTTAGCGATTACAGTTACGCTATATATCTTCTATATTTTTATATGATACATCAAATCATTGATCCCGATGTCATGTACAAAATGATCATAATATATCATCATAATAATCCATATGGTAGCAATAGTAAGTAACTAGTATAAACTGCAACTTAAGTCCTCAGCGTGAGGAGGTCTCCCAAATCATGGGGGTACGCCTAAATCATCCATTTATAGAAATTTATAGATGGATTTTTCCATTCTTTCAACCAGCCAGCTATTGGGGGAAGCTTCCATGAACCCACCGTGCCTTGTGCATCATGAGTCTTCACCTCGCTCCACGGCGCTCGCCTTGGCGCAAAGCAAAAGGCAGGAGGACTAACCGACTGGGGCCTCCAGGCATCACTTGGACCTATCCATATTGACATCATCTCAAGGCAAACAATCACTAAAGAATCTGTATCAAAGCAGTACGAGGATTTAAGGAAACTGATGATACTGAAGTTAATTCCTGATGTTTGAGTGGCTTTTGAACACCAGTCTGCGGCGCAAGGACTGCTTTGCTTCACCTCAAGCTGCAAAGATATTCATCAAAGGGAACTTTTGCCGAGAGGCTCTGGAAGTAAACATCCTGAAAGGATCAGCATCACCTGAACATATTGCCCAAGAAGACAAGCTGAGCTGCAAGCGATTCGGTTCTCCAGAGTAACGTCCACTCAAATGTCTCAACCAACAGCAACCAACATTAACCAATTCAATTCTTCCCGCACACGCCAAACATGTGCCTCCATAAATGAATCATTGTGTTTTTTGAGTGGAAGATATCATTTTGTATTCACGCCCACAAAGGAAAAGACTGGACGCATATCAGAACTTCCTGCTAGAGATGCACCCTATACTCTTGCATGCTGCTTATGGCCCTGCAGTTCAACTGCTCAGCAAAGCATGAGGCCTCTTACATTTCTTACTCTTCCCAAACTCCCTTCACCCAAAGTATGCAAAATCAGTTTAAACACTCATTCCAAATATTTCCAAATTGAATATTCAAGTAAGATTAAAGCATATTAAGCCCAAATCACCATATCCAAGCAGAGTGTACCAAATCTTCAGGCAAGCAACAAAGCAGCAAACGTATACCTGGGAGGTCAGGCTTGGGGATTAGCTGCAGGATCTTCAAGGCCCACACTGTGACACAGCGAAACTTGGGTCCGAGGTGCAGCATTGGAAATGACGTTCAAGGCACTCCACGGAGTGGCCAAGATATATGCAAAGGCCACAGAGAGCAGAATGGCCCTTGGCTTCACCAAGGTTTGGGTTTGAAGGGAAGGTGGCAGAAAGGCTTCTACATGGTTCTACCATCTATATCATGATGATTCATAATGTATATATACCTTCAGCCCCCAAAACCTTCTTTTTTTAGGGTTGTAAAAAAAATATAGGTTATTTCAAAAAAGACAGGTTTTCCGATGGTTGTTGATCAAAATTCCTTTATCCGGGAACGCGAATAAAAATGTTACTTTCGCGGAAATTTTTGCGAACTCCATGTTTGTCTTTCGCGGAACTTGTGTTAGGCAATCATGCCTTTCAGCAAGATAGGATTTAATGGTATGTGTCTAAACAATTAAATGATAATCATGACAATATATGGGAGGCATTGAGGCTGCAAGGTGAAAAGGGGTGAGCTGTTCACACTGGTCCCAGTATCACAGCAAGTTCTTTTTTAAGCCCTATATATAATATTTCTGGCAAACCATGCTGCGAAAGTTGAATGGAAGGTGAGAAGCCTTGATCTGAATCTTCGAAGAAACAAATTTGGGTTCTCCTCTCTTCTTACTTCCTGTGGCCGCCAAAGTTTTCCAGCATCTTTACATTTTTGGGGATGAATAGAACGACTCATCGAAGCAATCATACAAAAGAACAACATTGCTCGAATTGAATCACCTTGCAAGCCACTGCTGGTCTTGTCAGCCGCAGCCAAGCGGCAAATTCTGGGACTTTTCATCGCCAAAAATTTGGCCTGGCAAATCACATGTGATGAGACTTGAGATCACTGCAAAGTTCACTGATTCCAGTTATAGATATATGGGTATGGATCAATACCTATTAATACCATTTTTAGTGGGATGAACATCCATTTACCAGCTATTTTGATGTTCACCAGGGGTACAAGGTTTTGACACACTGCCATATAGTTATAGATAGTTATAGATAGTTATAGCCATAGCATGGCAATTAAAGTGGCATGAGAGCGACCTCGAAGAGATAGCTATCACAGGCCCCATGAAACTTAGGCAACCGAACACCCCTATTTTTCCACATGTCCAAACACCCCAACTATCTGGTGATTTGGTACCTCCATGTCTTTGCCCAACCACCAGGATTCTTGACCCGCAGGCAATCATTTGATACACCCTGCAATCAGCTGGTATAGCTGGTGCCGATACCGGATATCACCGGATCCATATGGATCCATATGGATCCATATGGATCCATGAATTGTGGACAAGAGGCTGATGTTCATGGAAGCCCCAACGATGTAGCTCAACAAATATCCCCATGTCTCCAGCGCCAGAAAGACGTTGGCAGCCTTGGAAGGTGAGAGGTGCACCAAGCTATGCTGTAGCAGGGCCAAATCTTCGCATACCTTCGACATATCCTTGGATATCCTTGGAGTATCTTCCAGTCTTCCAGCACATTTCCCCTGTTGAAAGTTATACATTCCTTGCATCAAGTTGGACACGATGGCAGGATGCTGGTCGGCAAACCTCTCTGTTCCCGGCCAAAAAGGGCAAACGCATGTCCGAAAAACTCCCCAACATGGGTCAATGGTTGAATGCACAAAAATGACAACTTGTTTGGCAAAATTGTACATTTGGATACATTTGGTACCCCATGTTTGACCCATACCCACGTGTTACTGGTAGGACTGACCATACTTTCGGATTTCCTATGTACGCACCAAGAGTCTATGCGTGCTCGCGGGCCAAAGGCATTTTCCACCAATGAGCCTAAGAAGTGAAGCTTTTGTCATACTCTCTTTGTAGTGAAACATCCGAATCAAACGTCAGAAATCAAAGCGTTGAATCATGTTGAATCTGCCATTGGAACTTCAACCTAAAGAAGATCGCTAAACGCGCAGTTGTTGTGAGTTCAGCAAGTGACCGCCTTTCAACAGAACACTTGAACATGCTGATGAAGTTTCACAAATTCACTAAGGAAACATAAACAGTGGTGATGAACTCCCTCCCAAAGTCCCAAAGTGAAATTAGTATATTGGCTGGCGCGAAATGGTGTATCCCCCCACTTTAACAGGTATGTGATGGTATGTGTATGGGGAAGTAATATTGTTGTTATCGGATTTTGGGGTGCCAACAATCGACAAATCCAACATGGTCATCGTCCAAGCTACCCCATGAGTAGAGCTTGGACCTTGATTGTGCGCAGGCTCTCTCCTGAGTGTCTGAGCATCCAGCCATTGATTTCCCTACAAGACTAGCGATCCCCAAATAGATTGCCAAATGTTTCCAAAGTAGTTTGATGGCGATTTACTCTACCTTTTTGATTCTTTGTCGGAACCCATCCGGGGACATACACGTATTGGTTTCCTTCCTCTGACTAACATCTGTGTAGAACTGATCCAATGTCAAGGTCTCTGTGAGATCAACGACCTGTGTAGATCGAAAGTCACCCACGTGGATCCACGTGGGAGATCTGCCTCCCTGTGGAAGGCTTTGAGTGCAGTCGTTGTTTGCTTGTTCTCAGTGAAAAAAACAGCAGGAAAGTCAAAGGCAGATCATTTCGTTGCCAGAATAATGCAAATCATAACGGCAGGACTGGACCACCTTTGATTCTTTTCCTCCTGAAGTGTCACATGTTCAGTCCAGGTTCCAAAAAGAAGTCGGGAGCGATGCCTGCCAAACAGGCAGCAAATGAACATGGAACAAGTTGCTGCAATATTTCCGGAGTTGCCTTTATGACTTGCTCAATCCTAGCATCAATCTGTCTCACCTCCTAAATGCAACTTTCAGATTGATATGGCTTTCAGGCAGTAGTCTCGCAATGGTTCGGAGACAGCATGCTGCGGCCAAGAAAAAAACAGCCTTTGAAGTCACTTGCCGTCAGCAATGAGGGTTGCGCTTGCAAAGCCCAAACTAATAAGTGCGCAGTGTAGGCTGAACAAAGGACCTGAGGAAGGCTCATGTCGGGATACTGAAGCTGAGACCCGATACCACAAAACTCTGAGATACTTATATTATCTTACTCCAATCTTATCAATGAATCAACATGGATTGACTGCAAGCATCCGCGTAGTTTCCAAGCACACCACTTCAAGCAGTCTTCAAGTGCAATCCCCTGCACCCGTTAGTTGTGTCATGTTCTGTCCCGTCTGTTTCCTATCACAGACATCGCCAAAGTGCCACCAGCACGATCAGCGGCGCTGCAATTAGCCCAGCTCGTAAAAAGACGTAGGGCCTTAAGGCTTGGAAAATCTTTCAGCATCCCGTCACGTGATTCACATCATTCTACAATGCTTAAGGGAAAGGGCAAAGGATGGCAAAGGATAGGTTGCAACATGCTGTCAGTGCCACATCATGCAACGTCTTTAGGTGGCATTCCTTGTGATTGCTTTCCAGAACAACTGAACAACTGTCGATTTTGAAGAAACCAAGCAGCTTCAAATGATTTCTACAATAGAATTCTGACAAACTGACTAGTAGTTTCAATCAACCCACCGATCCACCCGACTCATTTGCAAGTGAGCGTTATAATCGCAAGCAGGGATGGGAAATGATGGGAAGCAAGTAACTAATTTACAAACAAAAAAAAGTTGGATATTGTGGAATATCGAAAATCGGGATATTAGCCAGGAAAGTTTTAAGAATGACTGGTTCATGACTGAGCCACCCTCCCCAAATTTATGATCGGATTTTGCGGATCTAGCTCGAGTTGCGGATCTAGCTCGAGTTGACTAGTGAGGTCGGCAGCCTACGGCTAATTCGGTGTGCGTTGTACAAGAGTATACTCGCGTACATAGGCATGTCTTTATGTATGTTTGGGAAACTTCAAGCACAGCAACTGAGCACAATGCGCATCTTTTCCTAGCTGAAACTTGGGAAAAATCGACCTATCTGGAACTGCTGTTGCTTGTCGTCGAAGTGGCGGTCGCTTTCAGTGGGTGGCGGCATGTGTGTTCTGTTGTGTCTTAAGTTTCAACCCTCCTAAGCCGTGACCCTCCAAACCACTGTAGTAGGGATGCATATATAAAAACTATAGCTATACATATTAATGTGTATTTATAATACACAATATATATATATATTATACATATTGTATATATATATATATATATGTATCTTATACAATATATATATGTATGTATGTATGTATGTATGTATGTATGTATGTATGTATGTATGTATGTATGTATGTATGTATGTATGTATGTATGTATGTATACATATTGTATAGTATATTAATTATACATGTAATATAATGTTATTCTAAGTGGTTGTCAAACGGTCTTCTCCCAGAGGGCGGATGTTGAGCTATGGTGGGGCTGGGGGTCAGCAATTCGCAGTCGAAACTCTCAGCGCAACGTTTGGCAAGGCACATCGACAAAACGCCAACGCCCATAACGCCAGAAAGAATGGACATGGTGCCATCCCAAACGCTCAAAGATCTGGTGCATCTTTGATAGCCTGTGAGTTGCTGGATCTGTGAGCTTAGACCCAAATGTTGCATGCAACCAGCTTGTTGGACATACGATGGGCTAGCTGTTTCCAAGGATCAAACTTCCAAGATGAAGGACGATGGGCTAGAGTCTAGAGACTTGCTGCTGCGAAAGCATCTTCCACGACTATATATATATATATGTATATATATGTATATATATATATATGTATATATGTATATATATATATATGTGTATATATATATGTAATACATATATGTATATTATATTATAATAAAAATCGGGGTTAACAACGTCACCGACAACGTCAACCAGAACGGTACACGTCAGCCGAAACACACAGGGGCAATTATAGAGGCAGGTGCCTGAACCACTATATATATATATAGAAAAGCCAATCTTACCCTAATTCCCACTATCCCCTAGCCCTGGTCAAAGGCAATCCTCAAGTCCCTTGTCAAATCCAAAAGCCACTGGCCTTGATGTCCTTGGAAAACAGGAGCTGGAACTTTGTCCCTCACCGTCATGGCCAAGAGCACTACAGCACTGCACAATGTGAAGGCCACTGACAAAGTGGGCCAAACCAGAAGGTCAGGTTGGAAATTCCTCGCAAGTCTGTGAATTGCAGCTGCGATTGGGGGCTTCGTCACAAAAACCAGTGTCTCTATTCATCCCTAGAGTAGTTGCACAGCTCTGCAGCTGTAACTAGAAAAGAACTCATCAGTTGAGTGTTACCGCAAATCAGGGGACATTTCAATTTCAAATACCTACATTGCAGATATCTATACGTACAGTACCTGCAATGGCCAGTGAAAAACATCCGAAAAATGCACACAAGGATCAGAAATTTGATTCAGTTAAACGGACCCCTGCGAAGTGGAATGTTTTACCATGTTCATTCATTTTCTTGGTATCTTTGCTGTCATGTGGGTATGCATGGATGGTTGATAGTTGATACTCAAGAAACAACTAAAACCTTTGGTACCCTAGGTCTACATCAAATTGTTAGTTAGTTATATCCCATCATATTCGGTTATCTGGCTGGTTTCTCGACTATATCCTCTTTATATCTCCATTATATCATCATCTATCCCTATTACACTATATCACAATACATTATCACCAAATATGATAAACATAAATTCAAAATTAAATATGTAACAATATTTACAGTATAATACATATATATAGATACAGAAACAACATGAAACAACCATGATATCACCATTGAATCACAATTTTCATGACTCAAATAACTTAATAACCGAATCCCAGTTGCGCAGGCGTCACCGCCTCGGCCTTGGGCGAGTGTTGCACCTTCGCCACGTGTGGGAAACTGCTGGGAGGAAGCCTGTGCGCACCAGCGCGTGGGGTGGGGGTTACCAACAGGATTGATTTATAATGGGATTAAAATTAAATAAAATTAATAAAGGCACAAAAAATTGGGAGCCCAGGGGGCGGAGGTGGCGAGGTCGGCGAGTGTTCCAAGTCAAACCAGACAGCTTAGTGGCTGGAATTGAAGGGATGTCATGGAATTTGCTGGGGTTTTAGTGGATTTTCTGGGATCTAATGATGGGATGACTACAACCCAATAAGTAATATTCCATGTTTTTTGCATTGGATTTTTCCATCATGATGGGCTATGTTGATCGTGCTCGTGCCAAGCTCTGGCCTCATCTCGTGGAACTAACTTGCACTGCTAAGGATGTCCATCATTCTTAGTGAGATAAATAAATATAAATATATAAATACCCTAATCATACATCAACTGCTATCAATGGTATTGCATGCACTTCAATAGCATGACTTGTGACTCCCAGGACCCACCTAGCGGGTGCCGTTTCAAATGAACTTCGTGGACTGGATGTAGCCTGCAGCCGTTGTGTTTCCACCAAAAACCATGGGACGGGCTCAATTTTGAGGGGTGTCATGTGGAGCCATGGATGGTCGCAGTATAAACCCATCCAATTCTTGGGTCCAGGGAACAAACAAGATCATAAATATATAAATATACTATAAATCAAAGCAAGCACTTCTGCCGAGGAAAAGGCAGGTAAAATATCGTAAACCGGTGAATCATCTCAGTCTGTTTCCCTCCACACATGTTCACATTTTCCCAATTCTAAGTCGCGCTTTCGCCATGTTTCGCCTCACTAGCTCTTGCTTTGGAGAGAGGTCGCTTCGTCTGCACTAAGGCCGATGTTAGCGTCGTTGGGACGTCTGCATTGCAACTTGACTCAGGGCTATAGCCATCAACCTACCGAACATCACGAGCAGCGTATTGTGGATCTGGTGGGGTCAAACATGTCAGGGATAATCCCTTCCTCCTAATACTAAACGTCCCCCAAATACTAAAAACAGGCGTCCATCTTCAGTTTCAGAAAATTTCAGATTGGCCAATTTGACTTTTAATTGATCCCCTTTAGAAAACAATTAAAAAATCAAGCTACCATTTGTGGGTTTTCCCCCCTAATACTAAAAACTAGTCAACCCCGGGGTGTTTATTATTAGGGTCCGTCTGTTTTTTTTTTACTTTTTATATTAGGGCTTTTAATTTATTATTGGGGGGAAGCTTCGAAATCCAATTTTTGGCAATATTTTAACTGCGTTATATAAAGAAATTTAATTAATTTTGAGATCGGAAAAAATCGTTTTTCTTATTAAGGGTTTTAATTTAATATTAAGGGGAAGCTTCGAAATCCAATTTTTGGCAATATTTTAATTGCGTTGTATAAAGAAATTCAATTGATTTTGAGATCGGAAAAAATCGTTTTTATTATTAAGGGTTTTAATTTAATATCAGGGGGAAGCTTCGAAATCGAGTTTTTGGCAATATTCTAATCGCGTTATATAAAGAAATTGAATTGATTTTGAGATCGGAAAAACTAGTTTTTATTATTAAGGGTTTAATTTTATCAATAGGGTTCCCTAATAATAAATACCATCCTAATACTAAAAACGACCTGCCGTGTTTATTAATAGGGGGGGACGTTTAGTATTAGGAGGAAGGGATTAATATGGGTTGGATATGGTTGGATAAAATCCCATATGAATGCTATCTATGTGCTGACCGTGTAGGGAGCAGTGGTTGGTACGAACAAGTGCAAATCAGCAAAAAAAACATACAAATCCATGTTCCTGAGTTCATGGAAGACTCTTGCGGGTCTATGGGCACCTTCTTTAGTCTCTTTGCCAATTTCCCATGTCACTCCTCTAGCCATGCCGACCCAATTTAAGCCCAAGCAGCTGAGGTCACGCAAAGCACAACTGCTACCACACTTTTCCGTTTCATGTGGCTTCGAACGATTCAGTTGGGAAATAGCAGCGTGGCCATGGCGTTAGTAAAGAGCTATGTAAGGGGAACGGGTAAGATTTGAGCCGAACTGGCGGCTGAAGCATTGAGAGAGTCTCGCAATTGCGCAGACATGCATCGTGCATCGTGATGCTGAGCACGCATTAAAGGTTTGTACATTTGGTGATGCTTTTCCACAAATTTGAAATTGATGCTGCACTTCATGGAAAAACATGTTTTTGGGTTTTGGGTGCCCAGTTCGGGGATACGCCGTTTCTCTTGCTTTGGTGCTGGTGGTATCCACTTGACTGCCGGTTGCTTGGCGAGATCCCATATGGGGATGGACACTTCATAAATATCAGCAGCTTATAACATACTTGACATATATCATATTATCACATACATACATATATATATATATATATATTTGACACTAAACCTGATCATATTTGACATGAAAAAGTGTAAATTCACTGGTTGAACCATGTTGAAGCCACCATTTTCCAGCAACCCTCACGTGCCCGCGGTCACGCTGTCGCGGCCGTCGTTCCGGCGCCGTTCCCTGCGCGCTCTCAGGGGGGCTGGCAGTCCTGGATCCAGCGATGACAGCTGTGCTGACGGGATGATATTGGGGACGGATTACTTGGAAATATCATGAAATATACAATCCAATGAATCATATGAATCATCCTATATCATCCCTTTAATATGTTTATAATGATATATATATATATATATAATGATATTGGATCATAGGGATGATAGAGATGATATCGGTGCTTTTCAGCGTGTGTAAGTGTGTGTAAGGTCTACAAGAATCTGTTACAATCCCCTCATCTGTGGGCCCTCAATCGTACCCAGCTGATCTAGGCTTCATCATCATCCCAGCATGACTTTCAGATACTTTCAGTGCAGGCCGGCCCGTTATGGCATTCAAAATCTGGTTGTGAGGTCAGAGTCTGATTCCACTTTGGAGATGCCAACAGATGTCAACTTTCCATGAAAGAGATTGAAGACCTCTATAGCATTCTACCGGAACAATGAAAAATTGGCAGATTTTGGAAGCAGTTCACAATTTGGCGGCTCCATTCACCACAGCCGCAGCCGGCCTGGAGTGATAACAAAGTCTCCAATGAACGCCAGCACCTCGAGAGGACCGCCATGTTCAACCAATGCTGAAATGGGGCATAATCAACAGATAGCAACAGATAGCAGATTCTGTTGTGGATCACCCACGATTCTGTTGTGACCATTTCTGCATTGATGAACAAACTGCAAGACTTCAAATGTGGAGCAATATAGCAACACGCATATTCAGGCAATGGAGGATGAGGGGGATTTGGACATACTTTGGCAATCGCATTCTCCATTAAGAGACAATGTCAAACTAACACTAAAACGATCTCAAACATTCTAAACCCTGCATCATGGATCAATGATATCCTAATGCCCCAGCCCTTGAAGAATTTGAAGAGATATCCAACAGTCTGGAGCATCATGCTCAAAGTAAAGCACACATGGATTTGTCTTCTGCACAAAGCATTCTCACGACCTTCCATTTAGTCCAAGGATATTTCAGGCACCTGGCACTGAAACCCTCTTCTTGCGTCGTCCGTCAACACAGCCATGCTGAATCACTAAATCGCTAACCATAAACAATCATCAAAGACTGGTTCGATTCTGTTCGACAGTCTGGAGCCACATGCTCAAAGTAAAGCACACATGGATTTGTCTTCTGCACAAAGCATTCTGACGACCTTCCATTTGGTCCAAGGATATTTCAGGCACCTGGCACTGAAACCCTCTTCTTGCGTCGTCCGTCAACACAGCCATGCAGAATCACTCAATCACTGACCATAAAAGATCATAAAAGACTGGTTCGATTCTGTTCGACAGTCTGGAGCCACATGCTCAAAGTAAAGCACACATGGATTTGTCTTCTGCACAAAGCATTCTGACGACCTTCCATTTAGTCCAAGGATATTTCAGGCACCTGGCACTGAAACCCTCTTCTTGCGTCGTCCGTCAACACAGCCATGCTGAAACACTAAATCAATAACCATAAAAAATCATAAACGACTGGTTCGATTCTGTTCGACAGTCTGGAGCCACATGCTCAAAGTAAAGCACACATGGATTTGTCTTCTGCACAAAGCATTCTGACGACCTTCCATTTAGTTCAAGGATATTTCAGGCACCTGGCACTGAAACCCTCTTCTTGCGTCGTCCGTCAACACAGCCATGCTGAAACACTAAATCAATAACCATAAAAAATCATAAAAGACTGGTTCGATTCTGTTCGACAGTCTGGAGCCACATGCTCAAAGTAAAGCACACATGGATTTGTCTTCTGCACAAAGCATTCTGACGACCTTCCATTTAGTCCAAGGATATTTCAGGCACCTGGCACTGAAACCCTCTTCTTGCGTCGTCCGTCAACACAGCCATGCTGAATCACTGAATCACTGACCATAAAAGATCATAAAAGACTGGTTTCATTCTGTTCGACAGTCTGGAGCCACATGCTCAAAGTAAAGCACACATGGATTTGTCTTCTGCACAAAGCATTCTGACGACCTTCCATTTAGTCCAAGGATATTTCAGGCACCTGGCACTGAAACCCTCTTCTTGCGTCGTCCGTCAACACAGCCATGCTGAACCACTAAATCACAAACAATAAAAAAACATAAAAGACTGGTTCGATTCTGTTCGACAGTCTGGAGCCACATGCTCAAAGCAAAGAACCACTTGGATTTGTCTTCTGCACAAAGCATTCTGACGACCTTCCATTTAGTCCAAGGATATTTCAGGCACCTGGCACTGAAACCCTCTTCTTGCGTCGTCCGTCAACACAGCCATGCTGAATCACTACATCACTAACCATAGAAAATCAAAAAAAACTGGTTCGATTCTGTTCGACAGTCTGGAGCCACATGCTCATGGTGAAGCACAGGTGGATGATTTCTGACAAGAAATGATATCACGACAGTGTCTTCAGTCGCAGGTAACTGGCACACCCTGAAACTGCTTCTTGCGTCGTGAGTCGTGCGTCAACAAAAGCTTGCCACTGTGCCGCATCTTGCCACTATGCCCATCTATGCTCTGAAGTTGCAAGGAGTGTTCAACAGTCTGGAGCCACATGCTCATGGTGAAGCACAGGTGGATGATTTCTGACAAAAAATGATATCACGACAGTGTCTTCAGTCGCAGGTAACTGGCACACCCTGAAACTGCTTCTTGCGTCGTGAGTCGTGCGTCAACAAAAGTTTGCCACTGTGCCACATGCCACTTGCCACTATGCCATACTATGCCCATCTATGCCCTGACGTTGCAAGGAGTGTTCAACAGTCTGGAGCCACATGCTCATGGTGAAGCACAGGTGGATGATTTCTGACAAAAAATGATATCACGACAGTGTCTTCAGTCGCAGGTAACTGGCACACCCTGAAACTGCTTCTTGCGTCGTGAGTCGTGCGTCAACAAAAGCTTGCCACTGTGCCACATCTTGCCACTATCATACTATGCCATACTATGCCCATCTATGCCCTGACGTTGCAAGGAGTGTTCAACAGTCTGGAGCCACATGCTCATGGTGAAGCACAGGTGGATGATTTCTGACAAAAAATGATATCACGACAGTGTCTTCAGTCGCAGGTAACTGGCACACCCTGAAACTGCTTCTTGCGTCGTGAGTCGTGCGTCAACAAAAGCTTGCCACTGTGCCACATCTTGCCACTATGCCATACTATGCCCATCTATGCCCTGACGTTGCAAGGAGTGTTCAACAGTCTGGAGCCACATGCTCATGGTGAAGCACAGGTGGATGATTTCTGACAAAAAATGATATCACGACAGTGTCTTCAGTCGCAGGTAACTGGCACACCCTGAAACTGCTTCTTGCGTCGTGAGTCGTGCGTCAACAAAAGCTTGCCACTGTGCCACATCTTGCCACTATGCCATACTATGCCCATCTATGCCCTGACGTTGCAAGGAGTGTTCAACAGTCTGGAGCCACATGCTCATGGTGAAGCACAGGTGGATGATTTCTGACAAAAAATGATATCACGACAGTGTCTTCAGTCGCAGGTAACTGGCACACCCTGAAACTGCTTCTTGCGTCGTGAGTCGTGCGTCAACAAAAGCTTGCCACTGTGCCACATCTTGCCACTATGCCCATCTATGCCTGACGTTGCAAGGAGTGTTCAACAGTCTGGAGCCACATGCTTTATGGTGAAGCACAGGAGATGATTTCTGACAAAAAATGATATCACGACAGTGTCTTCAGTCGCAGGTAACTGGCACACCCTGAAACTGCTTCTTGCGTCGTGAGTCGTGCGTCAACAAAAGCTTGCCACTGTGCCACACATCTTGCCACTATGCCATACTATGCCCATCTATGCCCTGACGTTGCAAGGAGTGTTCAACAGTCTGGAGCCACATGCTCATGGTGAAGCACAGGTGGATGATTTCTGACAAAAAATGATATCACGACAGTGTCTTCAGTCGCAGGTAACTGGCACACCCTGAAACTGCTTCTTGCGTCGTGAGTGGTGCGTCAACAAAAGCTTGCCACTGTGCCACATCTTGCACATGCCATACTATGCCACTATGCCATACTATGCCCATCTATGCCCTGACGTTGCAAGGAGTGTTCAACAGTCTGGAGCCACATGCTCATGGTGAAGCACAGGTGGATGATTTCTGACAAAAAATGATATCACGACAGTGTCTTCAGTCGCAGGTAACTGGCACACCCTGAAACTGCTTCTTGCGTCGTGAGTCGTGCGTCAACAAAAGTTTGCCACTGTGCCACATCTTGCCACTATGCCATACTATGCCATACTATGCCCATCTATGCTCTGACGTTGCAAGGAGTGTTCAACAGTCTGGAGCCACATGCTTATGGTGAAGCACAGGTAGATGATTTCTGACAAAAAATGATATCACGACAGTGTCTTCAGTCGCAGGTAACTGGCACACCCTGAAACTGCTTCTTGCGTCGTGAGTCGTGCGTCAACAAAAGCTTGCCACTGTGCCACATCTTGCCACTATGCCATACTATGCCCATCTATGCCCTGACGTTGCAAGGAGTGTTCAACAGTCTGGAGCCACATGCTCATGGTGAAGCACAGGTGGATGATTTCTGACAAAAAATGATATCACGACAGTGTCTTCAGTCGCAGGTAACTGGCACACCCTGAAACTGCTTCTTGCGTCGTGAGTCGTGCGTCAACAAAAGCTTGCCACTGTGCCACATCTTGCCACTATGCCATACTATGCCCATCTATGCCCTGACGTTGCAAGGAGTGTTCAACAGTCTGGAGCCACATGCTTATGGTGAAGCACAGGTAGATGATTTCTGACAAAAAATGATATCACGACAGTGTCTTCAGTCGCAGGTAACTGGCACACCCTGAAACTGCTTCTTGCGTCGTGAGTCGTGCGTCAACAAAAGCTTGCCACTGTGCCACATCTTGCCACTATGCCCATCTATGCTCTGACGTTGCAAGGAGTGTTCAACAGTCTGGAGCCACATGCTCATGGTGAAGCACAGGTGGATGATTTCTGACAAAAAATGATATCACGACAGTGTCTTCAGTCGCAGGTAACTGGCACACCCTGAAACTGCTTCTTGCGTCGTGAGTCGTGCGTCAACAAAAGCTTGCTACTGTGCCACATCTTGCCACTATGCCATACTATGCCCATCTATGCCCTGACGTTGCAAGTATTGTCCCAAAGGTGGCACCGGCTACTGCTACATCTAAGGCACAGCCCCTCCTTCCCATCGGTTCCCCACCCAGGCGGCTGAAAAGAAGCGCAAGAAGCAGCGCGAGAAGAGATCGAAGGCATCGGGTGTAGTGAGGTAAAAGGACCACACCTGCAGCTGCTAACTCAATAGGTGCCACCCCAAATTCATGTAAAATTATGAGGTACGATACAAGACTTCACTCAGGTTTCTTGGACTGTTTAGCAGTAGGAACGCTATAGCTAGGATCACGGGCAAGTGTGCACTATTGTGCACTCAATCGAGCCATGAAATGGGGCAAACCATATGGACACTGGACACAACCAATAACCATCCCCATTGTCACCAGCGCAAGAAAATCCAAATGTCGGGACTTAAAACCAGATTTTGTTCAACAATCATTCATGGGACCCTGGGATGCCACTAAATGAAAGAAAATGGATGCTCACATTGCATATGGGGTTATGAAATGTTATGAATTCATATGAATTCTGAATTCCAAAGAAAAACAGAGCAACCCATAAATTGGTGGATAATTAATAGTCTGGTCCTAGTTGATGCGTTTAAAACATCGACCAGGCGGAAAACTCGACATTTTAGAGCGATGTTGGCCAACAGCAGTCAGGCCGTTCTCAGCACACTTGGCATTTGCGATGGCTTCTACTCACAGCGAAAAGTACACCTTTCAGAGGGATCCTCCACGGGCCTTAGCCCTTCGGGATGATGCTGGTAGGGGTAACATGGGGTAACTATCAAGTGCTTTGAATTTAAAGTAGCTGGAATCAGAAAAAATAGCTGACTACTACGATCGCACGCAAATATTGTATACAGTTCCCTGGAAGCAGCAGCCCTGAGTCCATGACCGCGGCTAGGCCAATGATGATGGCAGAGTGGAACACCACATCCTTCACCCAGCTCGAATAGAATGGAAGAAAAGCAACAAAACAATGCATTGAGAGATGACACCCATTTCAGCTGTTTAATCCCGTGAAATGCCCTTCCACAAAAACCAGCATGGGATATCTTTGTTGGCCGCAATGATCAAAAACATCAAACATCTCGATCTGCACAAAGCATCACGAAGCAACCATGTGTCAGTGTGTGTGTGTGCGCGCGCGCGCGTATGTGTTTGCACCTGCCTGTTTGATTAAATCTTCGTGATCTTCCTCTCCCTGCTTGGCCCCGGATTGCGTTCGCAAAGAAATACGCTGCCGAAAAAGAGTGGAGAGATTTATCACGAAGCACGCACAGATTTTAGCAAACAATCACAAACAATCCAGCAGTATGGACCTCTATGAAAGAAAAACTGGTAACCTAGTGCAAATCAAATTTGCTACAAATACAGTATAGTAGATGCGTTTTTGATCGTCTATGGATGTTTCTCTCCTCCCCATATTATGTCTTCCGTTTTATCATCACCGTTTTCTCCTGTCCCCACCGCACCCAATTGGGTGTGACTCAAAATGATTTACCCCCAAACAGGATGGTTTATATTCTTCAAAAAATGACAAGTTTTGATCAACCCATTGGTACGTCAAATATGAACAGTGTTCAAAACCCTAGCCTAGTCCTCATATTGGCTGGTCGATAGAGACTCCCATTGGTGATCATAATCCCCAAGAAACTTCACCAAGTAATTTATTACTTGTACTAACCGCAATCATCCATCAACCAGGCTTTTAGGAGTGGTTTTCAGGATATTTTCATCACCACTGGGTTTCCTCTACTCATCCCATCGGCGGTCCTGCCACTTTTCGGGCGGGAAGGCGCGTCCAACCCCAGCCAGCCGGGCCCAGGCCAACAGCAGCGGATCTGGTTCGGCTTCTGCCTCGGAGAGGCAGTTGTGGCACCCATTTATGGCTGGACTTGCAAATCTGGGGGGGAACCCCGCCTCAAAATGTGGGGAAAAACATGGACGTTTTTTCCCATACAATTAATGGCAATTTTGGCCCCAGTTTGATAGGGAAATACTGAAAAACAGTCGATACACATCGATACACCATGGGAATTTGGTGTTCCTTTTTTTTGTCATTTTTCTTGGAGACGATCCTGAATATGGGTGAAACATGGGCAACATGTGGACTACATTTTGGATTGAGCTTTCCAGCATTCTCCACAGGCAGTGGTTGCAGGTAGCACTGCACGCAAGCGCCATTGGGCCTCAACTCGGTGTTTCGCTTGATATTTTGTTGGACATTGGGGGCGAAATCTTGCAAATCAATGCAAATCATACAGAAATAATTCCACAGATAAGAGTATTTATTGGTATACGTACTGGTTCATTCTCATTGGCTTGCATCACTTACCATACTTACCTGGATTGGGCATCCATATATATATATATATTTATATTTATTTATTTACTGTATAAAATTGAGTCATTTCCTCATCGATCAAGACTGCCCGCAGGACATGTCTGCCTTTAAAATCACAGGCAAAGGCGTGTTGTCAAATAATTAATATATAATATATATATAATTACGTATCCATATATATGATTATTATATGTAATTATTTTCAAGGCCAAAGCATTCGTCAATCATTGAATAATGCTTTGAAACTGTTTGAAGGGGTTGCTAAGAGCTGACTCTCGTTCTAGGCCTGATGATGGTCCGAACATCCTCGAAATCCTCAAACCTTTGCATGACCAAACTCGACCCATGGCTTCACATCTGAGGCTTTCACAGTTGCGACAAGGCTTCACTTTCACCTCGGTCGCTGTGGCCTGTGGCCGTGATCAAGCCACATCATCTGGGCATCCCAGGCCAAGCAAACGTCCACGGAAAATGAACCGCACACGCCTGGGCAAATAGAGTCATGTCTCAGAAAGGCTGATGCATTGGGTCTTTCCTAGGACATGACCATCAAATTGATGGAACTGAAAGAGTTTCATGTTGCAAACTCGATCCAAACTCGACCAATCCGAACAATCGCAGACTAGAAGCGTCTGAATGAAGCATCAAATACTTCCACACCACATAGTCCACATGTGGTGGGGAAATCCCATGTTTCACCAAAGGTTTGGATATGTTTGGATTGAACAAAACATCATTGTCCTTTTGGATATTTCTCATTGACATGCTTGGCCGCTTAGCCTGTTTGAGACATCCACGCCGAGGTGCTCACGGTCCTGGCCGTGGAAGAGCCGCGACGAAGCATCAGCTGTTGGAGGACTGACCCTTCTTTGACGATGTTTAAACATCAGAAACTGTTACTGTATGTCACTGTACAAATCTGCACAAGTATCATCTTGTGAAGCATTCACACCTGGCCCTGATCAAATACTAAACACCCCTAAATTGTCACAGATATAAGTTTAAGTAAATCCCCTACAACAACCCATGGTTTCTGGAAGGTGCTTAATATTAGATGATATTAGGGGGATGGGATTGATAATGATTAACATTAATGAAGCAATAATAAACCAATATGATACCACATGAAATGAAAATATGGCTGTTTCATGGTGGTTCACACAAGAATTTTTAGTGCTTTACCATGCTTTACCGATATTAGTACCATATTAGTACCATATTTATCATCAGGATTCTCTTCTCCCCCAGTCCTTCAGGGCTGCTACCTGAGCTCCGGAATCCACGTGAACCTCGACGCGTTGGACACCTGCGGCACACTGGAGACCCTGGAAACCATGGGATCTTTATGGATGTGTCCATGTTTTACTTGGAGAATTTCCGGTAAAATTGTCCCTTGAACCAATCCATTGTATCCATTGATTGTAACATATTGTAACTAGGTAACAAATGGATTCAAACAGATTAAAACAGATTTAAAAAGTAAACACATGTTCATTTGTCAAATAGCAATGGCATTTAAGGAAGACTTGCATCCAGAAATGGTGGCGGAGAGTGCCAGGCATCTGCCAGCAAAATGACGACCCGGCGGAGCTGTGCGTTTGTATGTTGGCAGGTTTCACAAACTGCCTGAGCCAAAGGCAATAATTAAATATGTGAGGCTTACTGTACTACCAACTTGTGATTCAGCATGGAATCTCCTGCAGTCAATTTTCAAAAGAGGAACAATTTCCGAAGGATTTAGGATTGTCTGCCAAGTCTGCTCAAACAATTCCGTACAAATCTTTGAGATGAAGCTGAATGGGGGGTTGAAATTGCGAGCCAACAGTTCCAATTCAGGGTGAGGCAATTGAAGTTTTAGAGACCCAGTCCATGCTTTCCATCGCATCACCACACATTTCTGATCATTTCTGCATGTGCCTGCGCCATTGTCAATTTGCAGGCGTAGATGAAGCAAGGAGCTCGCTTCATCAGGCTCTGTCCTGGCATAGTGGAGATCTTGGCGGTCGCAGAGCACATCTGTTTACCGCGATGGAAACCCACATAGAATTGGAATGAACTGGAAACCTCTAGGCTGGTAGAGACCAAAGGGACCAATTTTGACAAAACCTGAGTGAAGTTGTTTGATAACCCTGACGGGTACAGTATCTAGTTATAATATGTTCTAATTACTGAGAATTGAGCCTCACGTTCCTCTGCACTAAACTTGGACTTGTGACATTGCAAATGCCCTTCCGACTTGAACCATGCATTTCACAGTGTTTCACAGTGACGTGGAGAAATTACTAGGAAGATTCAGGAAGATCAACTAGAGTTTCTGTACAGCCGCCAGCCTCATCCTGGTGATTCCCTCGCACCCTGCCTGTCTCCTGATGCTGGGACCGCCTCAGATTGCCGGTGGCGGTCACCACTGTATCAAGCATCCAGCCATATCCAGCCCATCAAACACCGTGGATCTTTGGCTCCTGCCCGCGCCTCATTGGTGCCAGCTGAGATGCGATCCCCATCGCTGGTGTCCATGTCAGTCCATCCCCATCTTGTCTGATGGATGAAATGCTGAGAATACTGAACCAGGAAGCTTTATAGTTATAACATGTTATAACAAATATATTTCAGAAACAGGAAGTAGAATCTCATATATATATATATAATAATTATAATATAGTTATCAACAAGCGTTGTTTTACATCACTGTTCTCTTGTCGTTAAATCAAGACTTCCCAACAAAGGGACTACCATGGACTAGCAAAAGCAACCTATCTGCCTTAGTTCTCAAGTTCTCACTGAATCACATGCTGCCGTTGGAGACCATTAACTCAGCTGATAGTTTTGGTCATTTTGGTTCTCTTTTGGGGTGCATGTTCAACCCTGGAATCCTCATGAATCCTCCAGAGTTAGAGTAGATCTGGTCATCAAAGTGTCAGAACTGTTTGCATGTTTTGAGTTTTTCAAAGCGGAGATGGCACAGCGGTCAAAATGTTGCTCAAACGAGAGCATGAAGTGCAAAAGCTTGAAGCATCTTGAATAATTTCTTGACACAATTCCTTCCATGGACAATCCAGATGTTGGATGATTTGGCTCCACAACAAACAAATACAAACAACAAGAAAAATCTCAAAACATCTCAAAACTCCAAACTTCAGTTAAACATCAACGACCAGTTTCCAATAGCCTAGGCCCTACTGCAGCGTTCCACACAAGCGATCCGCGATCCCTCTTCTTGCAGTCGTGTAGGCGCAGCATCTCTCAGTCTCCTAGCTGTCGAGCAATGTCCCAAGCATGGGAAGCATTCAAGTCATAATGATCTGCATCAAGCAAGTGCCATGGATAGCACAGTTTCAAGGCCCAATCAAATGCTAGTTCGACAGAGAAGAAGAAACGCCGCACAGGCATGGTATGTCTGGGCACCATAGGGGCATTGGCCGAGTACATCTGCCCCAAACGAAATGGTTTGGGCGAGAAAGAAGTCACAAGGTGTGAAAGGCATCACCAGTTGGGGATGCTTCCAGGAAAGCTGTTGGAGAACGCTGGTCTGAAGCAAGAAGCCCTCGAAGCTGGAAACCAAGAAGCGCCAACTGCTGAGCAAAACTACTGCAGACTTGCGTTCCAAAACTGTGACCACACAATGCAAGTTCTAAGTACAACCATCCTTTCTCTGCGCCTTTGGCAGTGTAAACATTTGCCTTAAAAGCTGAAGGTTTCCACCCATCATGCGATCTCGAGGGGAGAAATGTACATCACAAGTCCTGGATGTAGCTGAGCTAGTGAGCAATATGCAGATCCTGGCACTCGGGCAGCACCTGTGATCACGACTACTGAACCCCATGGGAGGCCGTTTCTGATGCTATTCAGGTGCTGCATACCTGGCATACCTCGAACCTTTGGATGCTAGTGGTATCTAGTGATGCTTCTGTGCACTGGCACAAATGCACTGCAACAAGCACATGCGGCAGTCACGTCAAGCCTGGGCTGCTTGAAGTGCCAATGGGCAGGCTATCTATTTCTGGCAAAATATGTCTTGAAGTTTGAAAGCCTATATGTATTATATTGGCAAACCCGCCTCAAATTTTACAAGATCACTGACAAATGCGTCTCTGGGATTGCTTGATTTCCCCACACAAAAAATTGCCAAACATTTTATCATGAGGCATCTTGGGTCATCCGTTTATTCCAACAAAAGATGTTGCTCCTTATCACTTGCAAGGCTCAGTGTTCGACATATTCGACATGGCGAAGACTGAGATAGGTTGGTCTAATGTGTGTCAACTTGGAAAGTCATCAGTACGCTGCAACATCATTGACCTGCAATGGAGTTACCCTGCTGCCTGCTGGTTGCAGTCGTTTCCCTGGTGTCTAGTAGCTTGAACCATGTAAGATTTCCAAGCAAACTTGGAGGTCTCAAGCGTCTCAAGATACTTGTGTGTCAAACCTCTGGACCTTACTAAGCTGCGGTGATCTCTTCCCAAGATCCAAAGTATGGAGAAATGACAGGATCTTCAACCTCCAGGTCTCCTTACAGTTGCAAGCTAAACATTTGGCAAAACCATGCAAAACCCATGAACATATCTCCCATGTCTAAGAAAATTATAGAAAACTGCGCAGGTTCAGCTCTTAGGACTGCGGAACTTCCCAGGTTACATTGCCATCCTTGAGTGCCAAGCTTTGGGCTGCTTGGACTGTTCAATGCAATTAACATTTGGACATATACCAGGATACCACCTTATTCAAACCACTCAAAGGATGCTTCTGGGTTGGGTGGCAAGTCAGAAACCAACTTCCCATGCAAACTAGCTACCATCAGTGTATGCTGAAGGAGAGCAATAGTCATGTTGGGGCTGTTGCG